CTTTCCCTCAAATTGTCTTTATTCCCAGTATTTATTCCTAAACCAGCTATCATTATTAACAGGCATAATTTTATTAGTGTGCAACAGCAACAAGGAAAGATCTCTATTTGCTAAGGTCACTTTGACTGCTGTGGAGATAAAACTTATTTGGAAAATATCAATCATTTATCTTTTCCTCAAATGAAGGCTCGCAAGGTGGTGTTCTATTGGTGTTAGCTTCTGATAATTAAAACCTTTCAAACACAAAAAGAACTATTAGAAAAACTCTGCTTTTCAAAAAGTTAAGTTTTAACGATGGATTTCTATTACATGAGCAAGTTATAAATAACTGACACCAAAAAGAGAGGGTCATTCACAGCACTGGAACAAAAACATTTGAGCCATGTCCAGCAGATTTCCATGGAACGATTCTCTCTGCTGCTTGTAGGGCAGTTACATCTTTTTTTCATTCAGTAGTTGTTTCATTACGCAGTCGAGACGACTTCCAACAGAAACAGAAGTTCATTAGAGATGACTTAGAGGCTGATTCAATTGACCAGTTCCAGAGCAATACAGTTTGCAGGGCAAAAGTAAAAGTCATTCTGGAAGTGGCCAAAAGTGACAGGATATTACAAAAGCTTTAGCCAAGAGATTCAGCAGCCGTCTGTAAAATGGGAGAGACTTTTCCAACATGTTTGGCCTCAGGGCTAAATGACATACCTGTTCTGCAGCCCCTTTCACATAAACAGCACCATACGCTCAGAAGCTCTACGACCTCAATCACCTTTTGTCAAAAGACACAGTTATCTTTATTGTTCAGAAGGTCAGTCACTCATGGTATGAAGTGTCCATTTTAAACAAGACTTTCCCTGAGATGGACTGAGAGCTAAAGGAATACACCACCTAACTCACTCTTATCACAGTGTGGTATGCAGCAGCTAGCCTTGAAGCAGCAAGTAGTCGTCTTCTGATTGCCACGTGTTAGCCAAAAGTCTCTTCTTAATTCCTGCTTATACTCGTTTTCTTTTATTTGCAGAAAATTATAGATACCCATGTGATGACTATTACATGCTGGGTAACATATAGTTTCTTTAGTACCAGAAAAATACGTTTGTTTTTTTTTTAAAAAAAAAAAGGAGCATTTTAAAGCTGGCCTCTGATAATTAGCAGCAAGAAAAATTATGACTTGCATGAACACCGATAGAATCTTATTTAGACTTATCTCATAGGAGCAAAGCCAGGAACTAAACTTTAATTGATAGCTTTGCTGTACATGTAGAATACAGGGAAGGAAAAAAAAATTAATTTGTTCTCTGAAGTAAATGCAGCATAGAAGCCATTCAGCCTGAAATTCCACAGACATCTCAAATGAAATAAAAGTTCCTGTTTCCACGTCCATATGCTGCCAAGCAGCGTGTCTGAAGAAAGGACCCAATTCAAATATGGGAGAAGCAAGATGAAAATCAAGTGAAGATAAATAGCTCATTATGACGTGAAGCCACGTAAGACCAGGCTTGGAAAAGGAAGCTGTGGCTAGGAGCATGAAGATAAAGGGAGCAGGACTGGGAGAAGAGGTTAATTCTTAGGGCAGAAAAGAGTGGGTGACAAGTTAGGTACTGGCATATCACCCACTGCTTGAGAGGGGCTGTTTCAAATCGTTTGACTGGTATTATATGTACAAAAACCTACAGACGGATGCTGAAGATTTATTAATTATGCAGTAGAGACTACGAACTATGATTCGATACTCCTCATGTGCATAAAGACACAACCTGTTTCTTTTTAATACACTTGTGTCACTGTCATGTGACTTAAATGGAGTTACAGCAGTTCAAATCAGGGTAAATCCCTAGAAATAAAGGCATTACATTGCTGTGAAACTGCTATGAGGACAGGATGATCAACCTCAGTCCATTAGAATTCATTTCACACTGGAATTTCCTCTAAATCACTTTGTGCGGCTACCTTAGCTCTCCAGCTCTGAAAATTCATTGGGAACGTTTTTATTTCATTCCTCTCTTCCACAGCCTTAAGAAGATGACCATTTGTCACGCCCTGGTCTAAAGCATGTGTTTTCAGCACCTAAAAACTAAGCAGCGTCTACTATTACGCAAGCAAGCAGAGGAAAAGCATGTCATCTAGATTTAAGGCAATAAACCCACATGAGTTGGAATCACTCCCAAAAGCACTTTAGACGGGAAATGAAACTTTACTGCCCCAGTGTATTATTGTGGTGCCCAAGAGCACTACGATAGTTTGGGATGAGGCTCAGAATTTCCATTAGAGACCAAATTTTCAGGAAGTTTAACTTGGCCATCAACATTTGCTTTAGGCTAAAAACTATTTTATAAGCTCTCCCTCCAAGTGCCAATAATTTTAAAAGTTTGGTTGGATTTCAGTCAAAGAATAGCTATAAATTTGTCATCTCATGTAGAAGACACGATGATGTCAGTGGCCCATAGACTCTCAACAGAGACCCCTGCTAGACTTGGGATCCTGCCTATTTTTCCTATCCTGAGCTGCTTTAGGTTAATTTATTGAAGTCTCACTCTTTAAACATCTAGCCATATGGCTCCATAATTCCCCAAATTGCCTCAGGTCATCAAGAAACAGCAGATGCAGACACAATGGTATCACAAGGAACAGCTACTGTTCAGAGGCAATCAGTGAGTTGCTATTCTGCTCTATCATCATTCAGCTGCAAAACACAGACCCAGACACAACATTGGACTAATTTTCTTTTCAAAACAGTCATTTCTATTACAGTGCGAAAAACAAAACACTACCAAGACACCACCATCCCACCCCCCAAAAAAAAAACCCTAACAGCCTTCCAGGAAATGTTGACAGGAATAAACAGAAAACTTTGAACAAATAAATGTTTTTCCTGAAGTACTCAACATATCGATACATAGAAACAAAATCTGGAAAGTGAAATAAACTGAGTAGACTTCTTTTGTTCAAGCTGAGGGAAATTCAAAAAACAACAAACAGACAAGTATCTATTTTACAGCCCTAAAACTTGCCATCTCCCTACCTTTCAATCCTACATTCCTTTCACACAGACTCCCAAACCATTCTGAAATGCAACGTTTTCAATATTCCCCTTCCCAGATTTTCCATACTACTAACCTCATCTGGCTGGCACTTGCTGTCTTTGGTGGGTCTCTGTGTTTTTCTAAGCATGGATTCCTCAGAATCTGCGGACTGAAAAGAAATTAATTGCTTTATATTCAGTGTGCTGAGAAGCCCTCACCTAAATAAGGGAAATGAAAGAGGAAATGGGCACACAGTAGAACTGAGCACGTTACAATGGTATCCTTATCCATCCACCTGCCCTCTTTACCTTGCTTCTTCCCCCACGTAGGGGCTAATCGAGGAAAATCAGCAGTTAAACATTGTTCTTTCTGAGTAATACCAGGAAACCAAGAATCCTTAAGGCCAGCAGACAGGTACTGACAGAAGTGCCTTCTCACATCTAACAAAGTTAAACTACCCTCTAACAGAAGCACCTTTGATGCCCATTAATCCCGAATTTCTATTATGAACCAGCACACAACAGAGTAGAAAAGGAGAATAGGAAATATTTAGAGGAGGAACAGAGAAGATAAAAAGAATGACAAAACAAAAGGCAATGAAGAGATGACTTTTAAGGTAGTTTAGGACTTTACACGGAGAAGGTCTGAAGTATGGGGAAACAGTGGATGTGTTCCTTTCTCAAAGATGCAACATGATGTGCAGAGTCCACTGCAAATAGAGCACCCTTGCAAGAATCTAGCTAGGCTTCCCAAGAGTTCTTTCAAGAAAAAAAATAAAATAATAATCAGGCTGGAAGCAAGCAGCAAAATCTAGAAAGCCAGGAAAAAAAAAAACAAAACAGATGTACAACTCCATCCTGTGTGTCCTGCTACAGAAGGAGTAAGCTCAAGAGAGATATTAATGACTAGTTATGGCCCAAAGAAGCACTCTTCAGCCCCATCTTTGCCAAAATCTGGCTATGAGTGCAGCAAAGCATGTATTAATGGGAAGACACGTGAGGATATAAGTACATAGTTCCAACAGTCGCTGCCACTCCTCTCTGCCAAACAATCTAACGTGATCAGGACAATCCAGACACGCGGAGTTCAGAAAACAAACCGCTTACTAGCTCTTCAGGAAGAATGGTCAGATGAGTCTTATGGCTCAGGTCAAGATATATCATGACAGAGACACACAGCCTCAAGTCACACTCTTGCCAGAACAAATCCACACCAACACTTTCACTTTAACTGCTGTTAAAGAAAGTACTTAATTGTTAAATGGGCAGAGAACACAAACACGCAAGGCCATTCTAACAAATGTTCAGTCCCTACCACAGCATGGCAAAAGTGACTGCTCTTTGAAACAAGATGTCGATTACCTTTTTCTCTGCTTTATCCTTTCCATGTTCTCTTAAATGCTCCCCATCTTTTTCTCTGTCCCTTTGTCTATCCCTTTCCCGACCTTTTCCTCTCTCTCTGTCTTTCTCTCGTTCTCTGTCTCTAGCCTTATCTTTGTCTCTTCCTTTCAGTCTGTCCTTTTCTCTTCCTCCTTCATTTTTTTTCTCTCTTTCCTGGCCTTTACCACGCTCAAGATCATCTTCTCGTTCTATGTCTCCTCTTCCCTGTTTTTTTTCTGTTTCTCTTCCTTGCTTGGTTGTTCTGCTTTTGCTTCTTTCCCTTTCTTGTTTTTCTCCTTCCTTAAGGGCGTCTCTTTCAGAGTCTTTGTGCTTCTCTTCATTATCCTTCTGTTTATCACTTTCCTTTTCTCTTTCTTCACTCTCTTTCAAATCTCCTTTGGGTTTTCTGTCTCTGCTTGAGCTTCTGTCTTTAATTCCAGTGTTTCCTCTACTCTAAAATGAAAGTAAAAACTAAAAATTAATTCCAATACATGACAATTCTATCATGCAGCTACTTTCTACAGACAAATATGCAAGCAAAAAGAACAACGAACAATAAACCATAAAGAGCAGTGGTCCCTGTGACCCACAAAATTTGCAAATGCCTACCTCTTTATCTCTATGGCTTTTCTGTTCTTCTGTTTTGGATTCTCTGCTTTCCTTATCTCGAGATTTAGAGGATGGAGGTTTCCCTTTAGCATCACGTCTTTCCCCAGCTAAGATCTTTCTTACAGCAACATCGCTGGACAGCTGCAAGGAATGAAAAAATATCATTGAAGTGAGTAAATTATTTTATTAAATATCTCCTTTCTTCCTCTCTGTAATCAACATGACTTTTGGGGGGGAGGGGGAGGGTGTTAGGTTTTTTTAAATAAAGCTTATATTTCTGCTCTTTTGGAAACATTCTTTTGCAGGAGTAATAATGCCCTTCGATATCAAACACCTCCTTGCAATTCTTGTAATAATTTGATTATACATGCCAGAGCTATAGAAATATACGGTGCTTTTTATGTCTTAGAGCACAACAGCAATTCTCACTGCAACAACCTAAATATCTTCCAAAACGGTAAGCTAAATGATTGCCAAATCCCTGTACCACGACTGCTAGATTGGTTAAACGCTCATAAATCACACTGTGTTGTATTTGTATCCACTTTTAGGCCACTCCACTTTCACCTAATACTTGCTCAATCAGCAACGGTCACTAAAGAAAAGAAAACTACATTAAGAATGACTTTCAATAAGTGTGTTTTAAAAAGCATCTAGTTCATTTGTTAAGATGACAAGCAATTATTAATTAGATCATTTAGACAACAAGTTAATGTCATGTTTTCATGTCCAAGTGGCAAGGAGTTTGACTACGTTAACACACACACAAACAAACAAAAAATCATCACATTGCCAGGGAACTCCCCCTGAAACAGGAACAGCTTTTAGATCACTACAACTGATATTGCCCTGGGGGTTGACTCCTGATTCTCTCCTGGTTTGTACACGTAAACCATGAATTTTTGTGGGTTTTTACATTTGGACACAAACTTCTGCACATGAGCAACGTTTGCCTGAACTATGTAACTCCAAGCAGTGCGCTCAGCTCAGCACTAAAAGCACGGAGCTAGAGACTGAAGGAAATCCTTTCCACAATACACATCAAGCACAATAAAAGACAAGGGGCTAATTATCTTAGCTCAAATGGGTAGACTATGTCCTCTGGACAGTAAATCTCATCACAACGTTCTACAAAGCTGTTTCCAAACTGGTCCAGTCTATTTGCATATGTTTATCAACTTTCCCCTTCCTGCTCTCAAGCTATTCATAAGGAAGCAGCTCATAGCACTCAGCTAATTAAAACAAAATAACATAAATTTAAATGAGTAGATTATCAGACAAAAATAATCCGAATTAAACTTGCAGGCAGCCTGTAAACACTGTAGTATTTCACATTTGTTATACACAATTTCTTCACACTCATTAATTCACAGATTTTAGACAATACATTTGTATTTCAAAAATCTCTAACACCTATAAGCAAAGGATCCTCATTACTTTTAATGCAACAATTATTTTAAGAACTGCCTGCAGTTATTTTTAACAAGTTATCAAATTTCTCTTTTGCTGCATTTTTGAAAAAAAAAAAAAGGCAGCACACTGGAATAATTCTGGCTTTCATTACAGAATTGAGAGATTTGACTGACATTTTAAAGGAGATAAAGTCAAAGGCGGCAGCATATCTAGTCATATAATTAATGTATCTGCATCCCAAAGTTTTAAAAGTTCTGAAACTTCATGTGTTCTTCAAAGCTAATAAATGTTATTAAATGACCAAAGAATAAGGTAAAAAATACAAACCAGTACACATTAAAAGCATCCAGAATGTATTTGAATGGGGACATGGCTCAAACTCTGCTAAGGATTGTACACCCTCTACCTGTTGTCATTACTGTAAGTGGTGACCCAACATTTATCTTGTGTATAAAATACAGACAGCAATGTCATACTTTGTTTAAGCAACACTTCCCGATTGCTTGAAGAAACTCATTGGTTTTTTCGGGCTCGTGTCCAGCCACAACACGCGCTGGTTTTACTGCCAGTGGCTCTCCTGTTACCATTACCACAGCATCAATGGCCTTCTGAAGGAAGCTGATTTTGGCATCTTTATCCTGGTGAAAGAGCAATTAGGAAACAATATTGAGACTCCAACATAATTCCGCACACCACCCAAAGACCAGAAAAACTCTGATGAGAGGAACAGTTGCAGAAAGCATCCGTACAACAGGAGCAGCACCTGGTTTCTAAGGTCAGGAAAGATTTATAGTTAGCTATTTCTGATTAAGAAATGACAGCTTTGATAATGGATGAGCATTCAACTGGAATGACCACAGCAAAAGTATAACTTTGTCTTTTTAGTGTGTTTATCATTTAGCTCCAGTGCATTTTAACACTCTCGTAAGACCCTTGGCACTTTGTTTTCAAAGCTTACATGTTAAAGAAGATCAAGTTTTTCCTAAGAAATGACTGCAAGTATTACCAAAACAAACACTAAACAGTTAAACAGGACTGCTACAGCAGATATTGCTCACAAGGACAGTTCTTGCCCTGAATATTTTTCCGCACAGAAGTCTCAGAGTTATGGGACTCACATGAGTCTAAACTGAGGGACTTAGACGCTTGCACACCAACTTTACAAACCAGACTTAACAGTGAGTAAAGAAAATATACAAAAGATGGTGGGAAAGGGATCCAGGCATGTATTTTTATCTCCACAATTACCAGATGCGGTTTAGTTTTATAATTATACCTTACAAACAACTCTCCCCAAGTGCCCTTCAGTAGAGATGATGGCTTTTGGTGATTATGCAAAATCGTAAGAAAAAAACAAAGTCAAAATAAACCAAGCCCCACCAAGTAAAAGTCATGAGCAGAGACGCAGCATTTTACAAGCCTGTTAAAAAGCAAACTCATGTGAGAAGAATTCCGTATGCATGTTTTAACAGGCACTGGTTCAAAAGAATTTAAACTACAGCGTTCAAACCGATAACTGAGAAGTGGGCCACTGCTGTTTCAGTTTATTCAGAAAAGAAGTAGCTTTGATGATCCAGTAAAACACCTGACTTTGCACTGCACTTCCTACCTGAGTATCTCAGGTGCACAGATCCGGAATGACCTGGCTCTAATTTGACAGAGGTACCGATACAGGGGAAAGCCACAGAAGCCAGTATTTCCTCAGCTGAGCAAGGAACTCTCTCTTGACAGGCCACCTGGTAGCACTGTCTGCTCCTGCAGCACTGGACCTTCATAGTGTTCATGAGGTATCTCAAGTCCCAGAGTCACTCTCCATAAACAAGAACTGGGTTCTGCTGCAAGAACGTGAACGATACTTAAATGTGTGGGAAGACAGTCTCCAGAGTCAGGGTACTTCCCATCTTCAACTCTTCCAAATGGATTAAAACAAACAACTGCCACATAGCTGGGATTTCCAGATTGTCTCCTTTAACATCAGGAGCACTTCACCCTCTCCAGTGCTCCCTGCATGTAAAAATAAAAAAGGAAAGGAAGGATATACTGCAACCTCCTTCTATTAAAATGGTTGTCCGTCCTTCCAAGGACATGTGCAATCTATAAATTTAGGGAAGGAGACAGAACACTATTCTAAACCAAACAAGTTTTCAAATAAAATCCAAAAGTTCCTCCTACATCCTCATCATTTCCAGCAGTTATGTTACCGGTGTTTTCTGTCCATATAAGAAATCCCCATGAACCCGAGGAGAAATCTATGGCTCCTACCTGCACCAGTAAATAAAGTTCCATCAAAATAGAAACAAACACCTGAAACAGTGCCGAGAGCTTAAGAATATTTTTATAGAGTAGATTTCAAAAAAAGAAATCTCCCCTATTTCAAGTGGTAATACTTTATATATATAAAGACTTTTTTATGTATCTATATAAAGCTGATGTGAAAGATGAAAAGAGCCAGCCTGATATCCAATCTTTCCATTTATAGGAGAACATTTTACTAGACCTGATGAGACGAACCTTTCTGATAAACACGCACACAGCAACACCACCTAGTGCAGCTGTCCCCACACTTTACATTTCCCTTACATCCATCTTCCATTGACTGATTTCATCCCTGAAACAGACCTGAACTCAGTGAGGTCCACAGGCATGCTCTGCAGGCCAGACTTGGCTCACGGGATCATAGAATCATAGAATCATAGAATGGTTAGGGCTGGAAGGGACCTTCAAAGGTCATCTAGTCCAACCCCCCTGCAAGGAACAGGGATATCTCCTACTAGATCAGGTTGCTCAGGGCCTTGTCCAACCTGGCCTTGAACGTCTCCAGGGATGGAGCATCCACCACCTCTCTGGGCAACCTGTTCCAGTGTTCTACCACTCTCATAGTAAAAAATTTTTTCCTAATATCCAACCTGAACCTACCTCCCTCTATTTTAAAACCATTACCCCTTGTCCTATCATAACTATCTCCCCTATTTCAAGTGGTAATACTTTATATATATAAAGACTTTTTTATGTATCTATATAAAGCTGATGTGAAAGATGAAAAGAGCCAGCCTGATATCCAATCTTTCCATTTATAGGAGAACATTTTACTAGACCTGATGAGACGAACCTTTCTGATAAACACGCACACAGCAACACCACCTAGTGCAGCTGTCCCCACACTTTACATTTCCCTTACATCCATCTTCCATTGACATCCAATTATTTTCTTACATCCATCTTCTCATCCCTGAAACAGACCTGAACTCAGTGAGGTCCACAGGCATGCTCTGCAGGCCAGACTTGGCTCATGGGATGCTTCCAGCCTGCCTCCCACCCCTTTCTACGCGGGAGGAGGACACCAGCTATCCATGGAATATGTGTTATCCCAACAGTGGAGACATAAAAGGTGGCACAGAAGAAACAGTGAGTACTTCAGGACCCCAGTGCTGTGTCCAGGTGAGAGAGGTGAATCGAAACCAGAAACAAAGGCAGGCATGCATTCCTACAACTCTAGCAGAATTCACAATAAGGAAGCGTCCTACCAGTGCTGTGTCCAGGTGAGAGAGGTGAATCAAAACCAGAAACAAAGGCAGTTGTTGCAGGCATGCATTCCTACAACTCTAACAGAATTCACAATAAGGAAGCGTCCTGGGAGAGCCGAGTCTTGTCTCCTGACTAGTGTCATGAAAATAGGGACACAAGCTAAAGATGTTTTCCCCCACATTACAGCATTTCGACCTTCTGTGCCTGAACTCTACAAACCATGGTCTCATGGCCTGTGAAAAAAATTCTCAGAGAGGTACTCAAGACTGGTGCCACTTCACAGCTATCGCAGTATGCAGATACAAAGACCTTCTCAGGAGCTGCAAGGAAATTCACTTTTTTGATCCACAAATAAAGGGCATAGTGCTCCCTTAAGAAGAGGCAGCATGTGCTAAGCTACTCTTCCTCGTAGAAACTACTGACAAGCTTCAACAGGGAAAGTATCAACAGAAACAACAATCCGTTGTATAACTAATTTAGATTTTAGTTATCCCAACAACAATAAGAATGGTCAAAGAAATAAATGTATGCACCAGACCAAGAATTAGCTGAATTTCATGCAAGAAGTGCATGAAACATCCATGCAACTGGCTGTGTGGATGACAAACCAGGCTGACAGACCTCATACTTTCAGTTGGTGTCTTAAACAATGACCAAGGGATGTAGCTGCCTAACTAGCAACATACAAACACGACAATATTTGCCCTGAATAAACAACAAAAGTTTCCAGTCAAGGTGGTAGCTGGAGAAATCAGCATCCTTGGCTCAGAAAAGAGGCAGATAGTGAAAGAGCAGCAAAGAGAGACTAAAGTCGCCCTTGTACTTCAACAAATGCATTTTTCAGCGATAACATTACCCTCCTCTTTCAGTAACTAGCCATTTGCATACTGTAATGAAGCTATTGTGGAACGCACATACAAGATAAAGGCATCAGCAAGTCCTGGGACATTGTGCTGGTTTGGGCTGGGATAGAGTTAATTCTCTCCATGGTAGCTACTACGGGGCTGTGTTTTGGATTTGTGTTGACAACACACAGGGGTGTTTTTGTTGTCACTGATTACAGAGTCAATGCCTCTTCTGCTCCTCACACCGCCCCACCAGCGAGTAGGCTGGGGGTGCACAAGGAGTTAGGAGGGGACACAGCTGGGACAGCTGACCCCAGCTGACCAAAGGGATGTTCCAGACCATATGACGTCATGCTCAGCGTATAAAGCTGGGGCAAGAAGAAGGAAAAGTTCAGAGTATGGCGAGTCTTCCCAATCAACTGCTAAGCGTGACAGAGCTCTGCATTCCTGGAGATGGCTGAACACCTGCC